AAGCGTGCATGCGGCCCATTTGTCCTGTCGTCTTCGAAATCCATGTATTCAGTTGCACTTACTGGCTTCCTATACTGGCTAGGAACTCTCGAGACGCTACACAGACAAACTCTAAAGTGACCGCCAACCGTCAGGTAGTCACAGGCTGTGCTGCCTTTTGGAGTCTGCCAACGGATTCGATCTCTTTTTACGCCTCATATATACTTTTGCCCTTGTTCTGTAAGTTTGTAACCAGAGTAGACAAATCACACTTCATGTAGAATATGTTGAAACTTTATTTAGGCCTGAAATATATACTAGTTTGTTTAAGTGTACTTTTATAGGTGAAAGGTGGGAACCAATTGGGAATGCGAGTCACGTGCGTGAAGCCGGCGAGGAATCTCCCTCCAATTGATACCTCCTACTCGCCTCTCCTGTATCACATTCTCCATCCTTTCTAATAACACATTCCTAATAAATCATCCGCGACCAAATGTTTCTTAAAGTAGATGGGCAGCTCTTACAAGGCCAATCTAATAAGTAACTTTATGGATTGAAGGCAAGACTAACCAGGAATATTACGACCATTGTTGCTTCTCCAGGACCAATGTAATTCGGCACCGTATTTTCAATGCTTGCAGGTAAAGTCAACTGCTTTAATTGTATAATTATTAAGAATAACTTTATTTTTTAAACCTTTTTTTGCAATATATGGTAATATTTACTTCTGTTTGCTACAAAATGTAAGACTGATACGAATTCCATATTATGCTGATAACAGGCATTAAGGAATTTTTATTAGTTTTTAATATGGATTAAAAGTTGTCCATTACCGCATATTTATTTTGCTTTGTTTCCCTTTACTACAAGTACCATGTTCAAGGTTTAGCGGCCATTCCATAGTCTCGGGATGGCAGCGTTAACTCGTGGTGAGAGAGAGCTGCGGGAACGGCTCGATACTGTAGGTTTTAGGCGTTGGCTAATGGCATATTTTAGCATTTTAAACCTCCGTTTGAAAGCGTGAGTTTTTTGTTTGCACCTTAACTGTCCATCCCCTAGTATGAAAGGGAGGGTGGAATGCCACTTGAAGTACTTCAGCGCCTTTTAAATGAATCGGATATACCACCTGCAAGAACAAAACGTTTTTTTAGGAAAGCTGATATTAATTGTGATCGACGCGTTAACTACGATGAGTTTTTACGACAGGTTTGTTCGGTACCTTTTGATTCCCTAATACAAACCTACTTACATTAGTTTTCTCAACATTCTTTTCCACTCAACATTATTTTACTGCACAGAATGTATTTTTTACTTTTGAGAGGTAGTTTTATGGAGCATCTTTGCTGAACACCATCATCATATGTATTCATTTCCAGTACTTATGAATTTTTTTCTAGACGTGTTAATTAAGTTGATGTCTGGGCAGCTAGCTTTAGCTAAAGCTAAACTGTGTTAATTGACTTTAAAATTATTCGCTTTGAGAGAAAACTCGTCTGGCTTCTCTCTCTTTTTGATCTCTAGATTATGTTTGAGGATAGCGCTTTTCTGCAAAAGCTGGCATTTGGGTCGATTGCACTTAACAAGGCAGTCATTGCTGTTGCTCCTCAAACAGCTCGTCGTAAGCAGAGGCAACAGATGCAGAAAAATGGCATTGACGAAACCGATTTATATAATTGGGGTGAAGCAGATGTCAATAATTACATTGAAGCCTACGACTGTCGTCCACCTCCTATTTTCATTCCTTTAATTACATTTGCTCAGGTACATTTCTACATACACCGTTTTCACTAACGCAGCGCTGCAGTGGCAGACAGATTCTTGTGAATGCAGTCATTGTGTGTAATATCCCAGAGTCTAAAACACATATGTAGGTTTTATTGTTTACTTGTCATTTGGTGCCTCACGCCCACGCTCCGCTTATGACTGTATCTCTTTTTACTCATTTTGCAGAATCGGGTTTTGTTGTTTGGAGGATGTGGATTCAGTGGTTTAGATTACCATATTCCGATCTTTGCTCTTTCATGAATACCTTTTTGTTAACATTCAACCTGTCATTCTCGTCTTTAATACATTATCGTCCCCATGATATTATATCAGGCCACTCTCTGCTCTCCTTCTTTTTGAGATACATTTAACTTCCAAGGATTTAGTATCTTTTGATTTATATGCTGGAAAGCAAACACGCGGTATAACTATATGTTAAGGTACTTGGAGAGGTGGACTGCGAAGCACTGACCTCTGTGACTCGTTTGTAGATAGCCGTATTCACCTACTACGCAATCATAGCAGGGTACGATACTGACCCCTTCAATGATGTCACTGCCTCCTCCGGTGTGCCCTTTAACAGTCCCCTGATCTACCTCCCACAAAAGCGCTACCAGGCTTGGCGTTTCCTTTCATACATGTTCATACACAATGGCTACGTCCACCTCATTTTCAACTGCGTTCTTCAACTGGCACTGGGCACGCTGCTCGAGCTGGTACACAAATTTTGGCGTGTCGGTATTGTCTACCTCCTCGGTGTTATTGCCGGTGAGTCGAAAGTGCCTTTTCTCAAAATCTCAAGAAACCGATATCAACAGCCCACTTTTGTCGTGCAAAAATTTGTTCTCAAACTCCTAAGCGTCAAATTATTTCCGGTTATTATTAACAAGCCACTTCTTTTTATTACCTCTCCTTTGGGGCGGGGTCTGAGGGATGCGGATTTTAATGCGGGAGATGATTCATGGCAACTTTGGCACAGAATGGATCTACGTGCCAAGTGGGCTTCAAAAGCACACAGTTTTACCTTCTTCTTCAGGCTATTCTTTTCTCCTCTTTAACATTGTAAGTGGTAGCATGCATCATTATGAGAGCCAGGAAAAGAGGGTTCCTATTGTCGTCTGACTTCCGGTTGAGTGAGTGGAGGTAGGCAAGCGGTTAAAATTGAACCTCTGAACCAGTGGCCTGCTGCGACTGTTAATCATGTGGATGTGATTCCTCTCAAACGCAAGGCTTAATCTATGAATTCCAGATCTGAAAATTTGTTAATTGTCTAAATACATTATTGGTGGAATTATTTTAGTGCAACCTTCTCTGCTGTGATATTTATACTCATCTCAAAGATGTGTTGGTAAGCCTCTCGACAGCTAATTAATATCTCTGTAGGTATTATGCTGTGTTGCTGTGGAACTTTTTTGAAGGCGAAAGTAGCCATATCGTTCGAGTAAAATAGGCGCTATCGACAAAAGAGAGGCATGGAGTTTACTGGTATGGCCTGTGGCGTAGCTCCGGACTGCTGGGGTGAACCCTATGTGGCCTTGGCCTCTGAAAACAACATAGTGCGACAGTGCCAATGGTTAGTATGGGCTGTGATGGTAAATCGTAGTGGAACGACACGTTTGCCACATGGCAATGTTCTTTCACAAATTCTAACTTCGTGTCCTCTTTCTTACCGTTATGGCTTCGCATCCAACCTAACATAACAGGGAAGAGAGGGTACGGGGTTGTCCATACTCGGGTGTCTGCTCGCCTTCGCAGTTTTTTAAGAGTATAGCAGAGTCTTAAGACATTTTATCCAGATCTACCGCAAAGAGACCTTTGCATTCTATGAAATCGCGTGAAAAAGAACCATATGAAGAGTTGGGCTACGATTTTCCCACTTCCTTCAAGGCTATTGGCTGATTGCGAAGAAATTTATTCTCCGTCCTGATTGGCCAGTTAGGGAGTAATTCTTTGTTCTGATTGTGCCAGAAGCCTAAGAGGTGAAACTATTGCTTGGTAGTTTTCGTTGCTAATTCGTTTGGGTGACCAAAATGCCTCACTAAAACGGTTTAACTTTCTTTCCTGATTTATGTCCTTAAGAATCTCGGTTCACATTGAAACTCATCACTCCACTTTTAGGGTCAACTTAATTTTATGCAACCTTCCATAGGAAAGGGGAAGATAAAATAAACTTGGTTCCTACTTACCAAAAACAAAGTTGGTTTTAGGTCACCTTTTTACCCAACAGCACAGCAAACTGATTGGCTTAACATTTCTCGAGCCGCCAAAGGCGATCGATCCATCCTCGTAAACACCTTCATGAAAATCTTTTTTTGCACAACTTCTGATGTTTAATATCGAAGCTTCATGAATCCTCGGAGGCTTGTCGCTGCGCAGCCAAGTTGGTCTCTTTATTTAGGTAAACTCAGTTGCATTTTAGAGGCTGCCGTTTGAAGTGCTATCTCGCCATGATTACTTCCGTTTTCCTATTTTAAGAGCGACAACCGACTGAAGTAAATTAGTCGGGTGACTCAATGCGATCTGTATGTACTCACCAATTACCTGCCAAGTATAGGATGTGATGATTCTCTCTTCCTGCGGCACTTCATGTCTCTCTAGCCTATTTCACTTGACTGACCGCATATTATATCAGGGAGGTAGTGTATTTTGTTTTTGTTTTTTGTATTCAGCCTAGGAAGCTATTGGGACACATTTGTATAGGGCACAAGCACCAAACTGCCTTGTCAAAACAGTGGTGCTACGGAATTTTTTTATCGTGAATACGGGGCGCTTTATCATGGTTGTAATAAACTAAAAACAGGCAAAAAACAAGTTTTACAAGGCAGTATTAATCATTCCTCGTCACCTGACTCGCGGTTCCTTCCTACACCAGTCCACAACAATAACGATGCACTAACATTTGCACTACCGTAGCTTAAGTTTCCATTTTTGTCACGTTCTTGTGTTTAACAGGCTCCCTGGCGCATTCAGTCAGCGATCCCTTCGTCGCCTTGGCTGGGGCTAGTGGTGGCTGCTACGCTCTCATTGGTGCTCATGTTGCTACTATTATCACAGTAAGTAGTAGTCATGTCTGGAGCTGACAATGCAGAATTTCGACTTTAATTCCCGTCTCCTTTGAGTCGATATAAAAACTCCCAACCCTTGTTTCAAAAATAGATAGTACATAAGGCGTTAGGATGGGATCATTTGGCTGTTTCACACTGTTTAATGCGCCGGTTGAATTATGCCTAAGCGGTTCTTTTAACTTTTATTTTCAATTTAAGATGGAAAAAACTCGCTACCGCTTTAGGCTTGCCATGATGGAGCCACTCACGTGTTGATTCAGTGATTTGAAAACGGTGTCTTTTTCCTACTAGACTCATTCGATGGAGTTAAAGATGTCCAAAACTTTACGCAAAATCTGATTTTGATTGGAGGTACAAATCAGTAATGCTGCATAAAGGTTGCTTTATTTCATATTTATGCACTATAAGGTGAAAATGGAATATTGTGTTGAAGAGAAGGCCCCGCAGCTTGCCTGCCACATGCGTGCTTTTTGTGCCTGAATGTCGTTGGCACAGGGCGCATTTACGACATGAATGGTTGTAAACTTGTTGGTACAAGATGTTGCTACCAAACTTTCCCAACGAAAAAAGCTGAGAAGGTATATTGCATAATCTAGCCGGCTGGGTTAGGCCATTGGAACAAGAAACCACATGACCAGGTAGTGACTAGTGCAATAAATGGGTTGTCTCCCAGTGCCGTCTTTTTGGGATCAAAATGCATCTTATTAATCCAGCGAAGTCCAGCCGTTGTTTGTAAGCAATTGTCGAGTTATTTGAACTTTTGGAACCATTCTTGACGAGATGGCAAAGAGAACTTCTCGAAATGTAGTCTATTTCTTGGCCACAGTGGTGACTCGATGTTTCTAAACTCTTAGCAATCATCTTCACATTGAATAATGCTTGAAATATGGGCATCTTACGTGGTGGGTTGCCGGTGTTTCGTCCTAAATCGTTCTCCAAGTCGTAGGCAGTTAGCTTTGTTCCAGAGGCACTGTCCCCAGACTCGTGGAGACCTGATCGTCCATGTATCTGGAAACAGCTGTATTTCATGCACTAAACTTATTTCCTTTATTGACTTCAGTCTACTTTTGTTCAGAACTGGAAGACAATGCAAACTGGGTGGCTGAAAAATCCCATGAATTTCCTCTCTAGTGGAGCTGTCCGTCTGACCTTCATCCTCCTCCTTGGTGAGTGATCTGATTGTCTGTCCTTCTGATGCCAACTGTCCAGTATAGAATGTTGTAATTCCACAGTTGACATTCAAAAAGCACAGTGTCTCAATGGGAGTAGAACTAATTTCCCATTTCATGCGCTTTACTTCACCTACTAAATTCATTTTCATGCACCAAGGCACCTCGTTATCGCTGCCTACTGGGAAGTGGTCTCTCTCGTCAGACTAAGCTTCTCACTTCCCTTTTTCATCATTTGTCACTATTTTTATTTGCTATGATGCTGCTTACTCATGGCATCCGCATGTCTATATTTTGCCAATATCAACGCCTTTGTGTTTAGAGGTCAAAGTTTTAATGCACATGAACATGACAACTGTAAGGTCAGTTGTTGGCTCTAATTTACTCTTCGGCTTTGCACTGCCAACCGCAGCACCAGGATTACAAGGTTGACCAAGTGTCTCAGTCCAAACACATACACACAGACGCCAAGTGAAGCTGGTTTTGTTTAAACACGTTAACTTGCGCATTAAAATGGCTGGCTGTGTGAAACGGTTGTGGACAAGGTGGAATACATGTCTAGAGAATGACCATTATTCAATTTGTTTGACCAATATTTCATCATTGAGTAGCAGAAATTCGATGAAAGCAACCTGAAAACATCACCCTTTTCCTTCCTTTGTGGTATTCCTTGATTAATGGCTCCACATCACTTTCCTTTAAAACCCCTCTCTAATCAACTGTGGATGCTTTTAAACCCTCTTTGAGGGTGCATGCCTTGTTCGCTATAAGGACATAAGTAGTATGTACCGGGCAAAGATTTCTGAAGTGAACACGCTTGGCAGGAGTTAGACGCCGGAGCTAAACAGGTACTAAGATTATATTTGACTTGACTACGAGCGTGTTAATCTGAGTGAACCTCAATTTCGACATTACTTTGATGATCTCTCCTGTCGTGCTTGTCATTTTAAGCAGTTGGGCATGTTTGTTGTCCACGGAAGCGCAATCTTTCATTTTTCGGAGTTTCCTCCACCATGCTAGACATTCCAGCACTTTTTCATTTGAAAGAAGTGACATTGGAGGCAGTCAATCCTTTGTAACTAAAAAGGGACAAAAAGAGTGCTTTTCTTTTGATGATGCCCTACATCCAACCATCTTCCCTCCATTCTCCATTCACTTCAGAGCCAAAGTTTAAAAACTGTAGCTCCAAAGCGTATTTCGGACGGATTGGCAGCATTTACCCCAGAGCTGGCGATCATTTTCCTTCCCCTGCCCTCTTTCCCTGTAGTAAGGCCGATGAATCAGCCCAGCAAGGACCCTAGACGTGTTTGGAAGGGCCACTGTGGTAGCACCAGTTTTATGTATTAATCGTTCCCCCTTCCTATAAATTTGCCGATAGGCTTACCCATGGAGAAGGAAAATGGACCTCATCTGAAGGAATTAAAAGCTTACGTTGATGTACACCGCACTCTGTTTAAGATGGATGTGAAACCGAATGAATGGACTGATTATGTTTTTTGATACCGTGTCCCGCGAATCGAAATTTCAATTAGATAATGGATTTCATGAAAAAACATTAGGGAAGGCACCTCCACCACACCAATTTGAAGGCTTCTTTCCAATTTCACCACCATAAGGTCATCATAACTTCGGTTATGATTGAAGCATTCCAAAGAAACGGCGATTCTATGCATTGATTTGATTCATGAAAAGTGAAGTATTTGTTGCTTCCTTTCACCATCTTCAGTTACTTCCGCTCATATGAAAGAATGGGTAATTTTGTAGGTTTAGATGCGTTAATTCTTGTGGTTTGGCAGTGATTAGGCGCAGGACTTTCTGTCTGGTGGACGAAGGGAATGTTTGATGACAGTCTACAGTCGTCTCCACCCCTAATAGTTGGCCTCTTCTTGTCCAGTCATCCATAAGTGTGAATAAATGGCATTCCAGGTGTTTGAATGCAAGTACATAAACCTAGGATAAATGTGGAAAGGTTGGGAGTTTCAAAAAACAGAGTTGATTGCGTCGTAAAACAAGTGATTCAATGAATCAAATGTAATTTGATGGGAATATGTCAATCATGCTTAGCCTTAGTTTTTGAACTTCCATACTGATCACCAGGATCTTAAAAATCCCCTTACAGCCTCACCGGTCAGGCACATTTCTATGTAATTTTGATGTAAGATTGTCCTTTTACTACCCGTGCATATGTCAAGTAGTATTCATTTACCTTTCAAGGAGGAACTGTCTTCACCTCACTGCCTCCAAGTCTCTATCGGTGTTAATCTAGACATATATGGAAGTAAACAGCTCCCTCTTTTGGACGAACATGTTCTTAGTGTCTTTGCTATGGTACTGACGTTAAAGCACAGTTTCTATGACCACTTAGAAAGCACCCTCAGAAGTGGATCTCGCAATTTACGGAGGCCACATGGGTACACAAATGTGAACAACTATCGAGCTTCAACAGCTCGGGGCTGTGCGACGCCACCCATTCAATTAAAAAAAACATTTCCCCGAAGTATAATCCATCGTTTGATGGAAAGGTATGGTAAGAAATACAAATTTCGCAATTTAATGGGAGGTGACTTACTGCTATCACTTAATCTTGGAAGGAGGATTTTGGGTCGTGTTGAAAGTGGGTAGGATTAGTGGAGAAATGTTTTGCCCCCCACACACATTGCCTGCATTTGATCGGCGCTAATAAGTGTGCCTTGCTGTCTGTAGTGGGTGTGAAGCGAACGCGTGCTAATGTATGGGATTTGTTTGCAAGAAACTGATGAGAGCTAGACATTTTCGTTTTCATCCTCGTGCCAAGTAATTGTGAGTTGGCTGTCGGTATTACTTGCTTGCACACACACGTATGCTGTCCCCCCATTTCCCAATGCCTATTTGTCCAATGTTAATGAAAGAGTTGTTAAGCCCTTAAAGGTTGTGAGGATGTCCATCCACTTGCTATGCCAAGCCTTCGCCAGTGGATATCCATGGGGCTGACTTCCTTGTGTCACATGTTGTCCTATATCGTATGCTTTCTCTTTGCATTGTTCTCAGTCACTATAATAGTGTTTTCTTTCGGTTTACCATTTGTTCTATTTTAATGTAGTCACAATCCTCCACCCTTTATCGCAGCACAGTTGTTTGAAGAAGATTTTAAAGAAGTCTGAAAAGGAAAAAAAAGTGTCACCTTTCCTCACACTAGATGAGTCACAATGGAGAGTGGTGGTGTGAGGTGTGTGAGCCATAGACCCGCTTACCATCTTGATGCTCAGGCAAATGGTAAAACCTGTGCCAAATTGGTGGCAGCGGTACCAGCAATTGAAGAGCCTTTACCGATTTTAGGGCTAAATGCTAGGTTTCCAAAAGTGAGGGTTGCAAAGTCGTTGGATCGAGATTAGGATTTGTCGAAGTCCCTCGCATTCAAGTAGTCGCATCCAAGGGTAAATGCTAATAAAATTGGGAGGAACAAAGCCAGTTTTATTCTGTGCTCCATTCATCTCGAAGGAAAATTCTGATTGGAAGAACTTACGAGAGACCGGCTTTGTAGATGAAGAGCGAGTACAACCTTAGACTTGAGCTATGGTTTTAGCCACTCTTTTCAGAAAGAGCATCCAATCTGCTGTCATTCAACACAGATATGAGTTGATCAGCTCCTTCTGAAATCCCCTCGGTGACGTTTTCCAATTTGAGAATCAAAGAGCTTTTAGGTCAGGCAGATCGATAACCAATAGGAAAGGAAGATTTACAACTCTCTCCTTTGCTTTTACTTACAGCCGGCGCAGACACCGGGTTCGCCATCTACGAGCGATTTACAAATCCCACTACCGCAAAAGTTGGATTTGTTGCCCACTTGGGTGGATTTGCCGCCGGTGAGTTTGAGATTTTGTTTTACCTTACCACAACCATTTTGACGATAGCTAATGGTCTCCAAAAGACCCAACTTGAATGCCAAGACGGCGCCGTTGAGTCTATCGATCCATCCTCTGGTATATGCGGTGCCCTAAAGGTTACGCCATTTTTAAGGTCATGATCATTAGTTTACAAAATTTACTTGTTTTTGGCCAGTTTGGGTGAAAGTCATTCTGCTTGGCTTCTGCTATGCGAGGGTCAAAGATATCGTCGGGTGTAAGAATTTGACTTTCTCCCGAATTTAGCCACAGTTCCTATCCTTCCTCTTCACCTACGATGTAAAAAGTGAGACCAATGGGAGCATCGCCGATTAGCCCAACTTTCCCAGGTTTTGGCTTTGGGTATGCATTGCTTAAGGAGGGTTGTTGCAATAACCTCCTTGTTCTGGCCATTTGCGGAAAATTGTCTTACACACTTCTGTAGAGGTGAGCGAAGCAATCCTTCCTTAAGGCTCGAGAAGTCACTCATTGGACCAAATTTTTTTCCCTTGGAAATTATTGTGTTGTAACCGAATTCTTCCGTCATCGCCTATTTGACTAGAACAGAGTAGAGTCCTTAGACTTTGCTGAGTACTTGAAAAGTTATGATTCCTTGGAAGGAAAAACTACTGTTGACAGATATTGGGACTCGCAGCTACAGGCAATCTTTTTTTCTCATTTGAGCAATGTTCTCGCAGTTTTCCATTGTCCCAACTCTAACGTCGTCACCACGACGTACTTGACGTTACAGAAGAAGCACTCAAAAAAGCTAAAGGTGCAAATAGTTGAATTTAACGTGCTGTTGAGACACCACATGATCGCCATGTCACTGATTTTACTGGACCCGGAGTTTTGTATTAAAATAGTATTTATGTCCATTGATAGTTGAAAAACACCGGCTCTACAACAGAATCAATTGCTAAGTATAAAGGATTCAGCATGTTACCGCCGGCATGGAACTTTGTGACTATTCTCATCTCAGTTCTTTCCAGCCACAACGCTCTGAGTTCTATCTAGCTGGTAGGAAAGCGAAAGAGGTACTGCTGAACCGTAGAATTTCAGACACCATCGAAAGGGACTTTTTAAGATTTCCTTGGTTGCTCATAGCTTGTCTGCGATCTGCTGGACTGGAGTGGTGGCCTTGGGTAGACATCCTCTATGAAACATGTTCAATTGATATTCAACTGTATTTCCACTTCTCCCATCCCGCAAAGCTTTCTTTTCCAGCTGTAGGACTCAAGGTAATAAAAAATGAAGACAAAATTTGCTCTCTATTGTCATTCTTGTAGCTTCCTGCAACCATATTAAAGGGAAATTGAACAACACTAGAGCGGCTGGGTCCAAATGTCAATCCACTTGGTTGAGGTCCTTTGAGTTAAAGAAACATTCGACACAGCTTCAGATATTCGCCACCACAGAGACTATTCCGATTAGATCAATGAAATGTGCCAATGGCGCTCCAGTGGCACGGATGCCAAACAATTATGTGACCTTATAAAGTAATTAGGCTAATGAAGATGTGCCAAATAGCGAGTTTATGGTTTGTATTTGTCAATAATTTATGCCCAGTAGCAACTCTATTAAAGTAAGCTTCTAAAGACGTTGCTCTGTCAACCAATTCATCTTGCATTTAGGTGTACTCGTTGGCATTCCAGTGCTACGAAATTTGGAGGTTGAGAGGTGGGAAAAAGTGTGCTTTTGGGTATGCATTTTCCTCTTCGCGGCATTCATGTCTGCTGCGGTGCTGTTCAATGGCTTCTGCGAGGAGCAGGGGTGGTGTCCTCCCACGGATTGGAGTTAGGTCCAGGCAACGTCTTCGCCCTAGTGATATTTTTCTGCGCCACAATGTTGTGCATGCTGCTGTTTTATTTCGTCTACTGGCTATTGTCTCCCATCACGTCTACTTTACCACTGCATGCTTTTATATACATATGCATATGCAAGTGGGTGGGAGATTGTACAAGTACTTGATGAATTTGTCGCATGGCGCAGCTACTTGATCCAATCTTAGGCTCCCTATTATTTATTATACTTGTTACATACTCAATTTGACTTTTATTACCTTCTGTGAGAAATTCGAACAGTGCTTCTCGCAACCCTTCAAACGGACAAAAAATTAGAACCAAAATACTTTTTTTAAAATTTTGATATTTACAATTGGAATGGTATTTTATTTGAAATTTGGAGTAAACCGTGTCAACCTCGTTGGCAAGTGTTTGCTAGGAAAAAGTGCGAATTTCTTTACATTTTGCATGAATGCTAGCGGTAAGTTGTCGTTGAAGCTGTTCGATTTGAAGTTGGAGTTTTTCAACCATAGTTAGATGGGTTAAAGGATTGAAGGAAGAATTAAGGATAATAGAGGGTTTTGGGTGGAAAATTAGGTCTCCTTTTGAATTGGAAGAAAAAAACTGGCAGCATTTCCATTTATGCAAATCTTGAGCTGTAGTGTGACAGTTACCGAACTATTTGATTTAATAATAAATGGGTTTCGGGGTTTCTCGATAGTAAACACGTGTAGTTATCGAATCA